TTATATAAAAATGGCCGTCTTTATCCCAAACGATTCCCCTCACTTCATTTTACTTACTTCACCGACTATATAGTTGTTTGTCTCATATAGCAAAGCTGACAGTTTTTTTCTTCACAATATCGATTTTACTTCTTTTGTTCAACGACACCACTAACAACATACTCAATCCTAAATCAAAAGTATTAGGTAGATGTAGGGTCAATTGGCAAATCATCTATACCTACAAAAAGGTTGCTGTAACATATTTTCCACATTATGTAATGCAATATCAAGAAGTTCTCCTTCATTTTTTACGACACGAGTACCTCCTGACTTGCAATATTTTAATTGTCAAATTTAAAGTTGTTTCCCGTTCGTAACTTCTTATCTGCATTTATCGTATACATCTTTTGTACCCAATCAATATATTCTACCAGGTATGCCATCTTAGTCTTTTTCTCTTTTTCGTAGGTTCACAAAACTTGATGGATCGTATATCCCATTTTATAAGAAACAATCTTATGAAGCAAAGTATGTCCATGGCATTTGCAATTCATGTGAGTACTGAATGAATACCTTCTACTTATTAGCCCTTTCATCAAAGTGTAATTTTCCACCTATTCAATTAAATATACCTAAATGTCCTGAAAATATATTAAAATATTTTAGTTTTGCCATCTCATACGAAATAAACCAATTAAGTTATTTTCATTTTTCATAGATCTATTACTTTCTCAAAACTTGATGGACTGAATTGCCCACCCCCTTTTTTAAGAAGTATATTTTGAAGGCACGAGATCCTCATCATATATATATATATATATATACATATATATGTGTGTACTGTTATAATACACCTATGCTCATCTGCAACTGGCCCCGGGTCCAAGAACTCGAACACGATATGGAGACCGTGCCTTCACCGTAGCTGCTCCTAGGCTCTGGAACAGACTTCCTCTAGAGATTCGGGAAGCTCCTTCGTTAGATTCTTTTAAATCCTCCCTTAAGACATTTCTTTTTAATTCTCCCTGTTAATCCTCCCTCTTAGTCTGTAGCTTTAATGTGTTTTTACACGGTAGACGTAATGTAATTGCCTTAATTTGACTTTGTAATGTTTCGCCCTAAAATTAATTGTATTCTATTGTATCTATATGTATTGACTAGATGTATCTGTGCTTATGTATGTATTTTGAATTAATTGTAGATTGATTAGTATATATTAATTATAGTTATTGAATGTATTATTATCTAAGTACAACTTTGTAAAGCGCTTAGGAACATTGTAATAAGCGCTATATAAATATAATGTATTATTATTATTATTATTAATACTAAATGAGCAGTTTCCACTTCATCATTCCTTCTTTCATCCAAGCATAATTTTCCATCTATTCTTTACAATATACCCCAATGCCCTTGAAGTAGCTGATCATATTCTAGATCGTTTGTGTAGCTGAATTGCCATCTGAAACTTAGTATACCAGTTAAGTTTTTTTTAAATATATATATTTAATAATACATTTTAAAAACTTCATGGATTGAATACTGTCGCCCGCTTTTCAAGAAATATAAAGGCAAATATTATCTCCATCATACATGTACGTCTCTGTGTATTGTGATAATACTGAATGAACACCTTTCACCTTATAACTCCTTCTATCATCTAAATATGATATCTGTAAAGATTAAAAAGTCCGAATTTTCTTTTTCTTCTTGTCATGTCTCCATGGTTTAAAATAGAACTATACCCTGCTTTTTAGCGATAACATGAATAAATATATGAATAATACGTAGATGTCCCTTCCAAATAAATATACTTCAACTATATCTCTGTTCAGACATTGGACAATTATGAATTCTGATTAGATAAATGCTATATGTGGTGCTTTTGTTGTTGAATAACTAAATCTTCTAAGAGAAAGTAAACATGAAACGAAGTAAGCTGCAGCTATACGTTTTACGTGCATGTTCAAAACTTATCCAGAATTACTCAATGAATAACCCCTAACACTGCTCTTCAAATCAAAGGTAGCGTCCCTAAATAGTTGTTAAAGTTCTTTTGTCAGTAATCACGAATTGATATAATATCCCGGACTTTCATATCGAAGGCAAACATTTCTTCAGTTTTAGATTCACATTACACTAGGCATGGTAGGTGTAAGCATAAAACCTTAAATAACGCCATCTTGCTTGTTTGTTTTATCAGGTCTCTATGCATTATCTACTAGCTAACATTAAATATTTATTGCTCTATTTTTTATGCATGTCACTTTCATAATACCATTCTGTACTCTTAAAATTTCAAAGACACATTTCCAATGAGATCCTAATCGAAATCCTAATTCAATCGAATAACCTGTCAATAAATGTAAACTCTCTAAGGTAATTTAGGGGCACTGCTTCCAGGAGAATATTTGAGTTTTGTATCTTTTTAAATTAGTCTGGTTTTTAACATTGTGTCTTTTGTGTATTTTTTAGTTTTCTTCTGGCTAAAAAGTAATTTCATTGGCTCTACCATCTCCTAAGAAGTAATCTTTGCTTCCTATCAATCTAAACAGACATAATATTTTCCTTTACGGCATGAAGGAAGAATCTTGTTTTTAACGAAAGAGTTATCATAGATATCATTGTTATTGCCAAATGTTGCTCATTCATTTCTATGTCCTTCCTTGACATGTTTTGAAAATGGCAATTGATAACTAAATAGATAAACGAAACAATATTAATGATAATAGTAATTCAATTGATTCCTAACGTTTAAAAAAAAAAAAAGGATAGATCTCTTGATATTATAAAACAAAGGTTACATGTAGAACTAGCCTATTTAACATGATTACTTCATGTCTTTTAAAAAGCAGACATTCAATATCGGGTGTATTTATTATTGAGAGACACATTTTAAATGGGACAAAATATCATTGCATAGTTTGTGCGTTTTCATAACACCAAAAGGAAAAGTAATATACAGTAATATACGGTCTGTAACGTTTTAAAGTTATAGTTCCCTGCGTTTTTTAAATGATAATGATGACACTCTCCATTAAACCTTTCAATTGAACCCTAAGAGGTACTAAGGCTTAGTGGTAATGTTTGCTACGTGTTTCTCTTGCCTTAATTCTCAGCCCAGATCTTAATTCACATAATGATACCTATCATAGGCCTATTAAACTACAATGGAATTATAAATTACAATATTTCTTTGCATTTCGCTCGCTTCTTTATTTCTTTCACAGAAGACGTTTCTTTTTAATAGTTATTACAAACGAATTATTTCTTCTTAATACCAACTGTCACATTTTAATTCCATTTCTAACCATTTCTATAAAAAGCACAGAGAGATGATAAACATATATTTGTAATAAATCTTGAACCAGTGGTCTTGGTTGTATGTAATTTGTATGCTAGAGATGTTTGTGTAAGGACGCCAGCTACGATAATAGAAAAAAAAGGTTTGCTAAAATTTATATGTTCGCACGTTGTACCTAGTGAAATAGCGCCCTTCATGAATAACCTCACGTGCTTTCTGTGTGATTCATCCTTCAAAAAACTATTCAGCTCCGTTTATGGTTCTTGACATTTACACTCTAACTGAAATCCACAATCTTGTGAATAATAATTATTTTAAACAAATTGTTAATGAGTAATAGCCTTCTAGTTAACTTAATTTTGCATCGCTTTCGTCTCTATCGAAAAAGAAAACTACAAGTAAAGGACACGATACAGCAATGAATAAATACTAATATTTATTTTTCCAATTTGATAGAAATTTATTTGCATGTTCATCTCTGTCTCATTTATTATAAGCAATGGACAATGTTACTTTCAATGAGTAAATTCTACAAAGTTCGGTAATGTCTGAAGTAAATAGAACAAAAAGAAAATTGTGGAACCTCGAAAGAAAAACACATTTCTATTCTTACATTTTAAATACAATAATGAATAAATGAACATTTGGTGTGATACAACAGCTTTGTCTGTTATAATGTGTAATTAGTAAATCATGCGAAATTCAGACGTTTAGTTGGTTCCCTTAATTATCTTCTTTAACTATAATAATGAATGTTAATATTACTGAAAGCCAACGTTCCATGTAGTTAAGTTTTGTTCTAAAAGCGAATTTGATATAATTGGTTTTAAAATAATAAAGAATGTCGCTGTTACCTTTAAACATGATATAATGCGCATAATCTTTACAAACTCAATACAGGACACAAGTGTTAATCATTCCTTTATTAAGCTGAGTTTTTTTACTCGCATTTTTGTTTATAGCGACAAACAGTGTTTGTGACAGTGATTTAGTATACATCAAGAATTCGAATTTGAGATTCTGCTGACTGGTAAGGAGACTTACATTCACCATTGAAATAATAGATACACTTGCTATAGATTTATACGCATTTCACAATTTCCCTTGCATACTCGATAGACTAGTAACATGACCTTCTGAGATGATTTTTTTTGCCAAATGAGAGATAAGGCACTCCTCTCACCAATTACTCTACGCTTCCAAAAATCAACGTATATCATTTTCTTTATTTGCAGCAAGACCATTCCATTTCCGTGGTTTGTACTAAATAGGATCTCAATTAACTAATCATATCACAAGAAACATATTTTCAAATATCTTACATTTTATTATGACCGATAGAATCATTGAAAATTTCAAAAACGTAGCTAAATTTTCATCAAGGAAATATGTAAAGACTCTTTACAAGGTTATTGGGTCATTTTTTTAAATTCTCTTTCTTGTCAAATATCATGACATGTATCAGAGTATCTTTCAGCCTATTGACATAACTTGTTTGTCATACAAGGAAATACTTCATACTGCAACAGTTTTGAAGTCAGAAATAATAAGTGGTCATATTTAATTACGTTTTCATAGCAGAGGTTTCGCCATCTGTTTCCTCCTCCTCTTCTCTGGCATGGAGCCAGATGTATAGCGCCATTTCTATTTTCACATCTGATCCGATGAAACAAAAACTTTCCTTCATGCTCATTGGATGACCAAAGTAAGGCACGCTAGCCTATTTCCATCCACAGTTGGCCTCCGAAACATGTATCTGATGTCGACCATGACGTTGTCTGCCACGTAAGACAAGATATTCTAAACATTTTTTTCTTTCTAATTGACCAGGTGTGTGGCTTTTATGGCTTGTTGATGACGTATTTCATACATTTTGCTTGACTGAATTTAATTTGAATTTATTATGCGATCCTCTATTGTTACTTGAGTATTATTCTTGTTTTACTTTTTGTTCTTTGTTAGATCATAAATTGGTAAAATGTGTGATGTCATGAGATGTACAACCAAGTACAAGTATGTGTATTGTCTCTGCGTGTAGCCTAATTTGTTTGATTTCACAACCTGAAATTCATCGTCATTTGGGAGAAAGGTCGATGCTTTTACGGCAATACCTGTCTAAACGAGCGTTAATAGACCGCTCATATATGACACCCATTTGTACGATGGCGTTAATATTGACTTTGCTTAGACATAACGGGGTTTGATATCCGAAGATTGTTAAATGACACAGTTGAGTGCGTTAAATGGGAATGAAAAACCTGAACCTAAAATGACATTTTTATTTTCAAGTCCTTTTCTACTCTTTATATCTTGGTCATTACGCCGAAGACATGATCTAAATATGTCATTAAATTCGTGATTAGATTTATTCCTCTCCCTTTCCAAAACCAAACTGAAAGAAATTGAAAAAGAAAGAAATAGAGAGACTGCTACGTCGGTAAAATAAGCTAAGCAATTATATTTGTAAATGAAAGATGTACATTTTTATTGTTATCTTCTTCGACCTTCTGTTGATAACGATTGTGAAGTTATATTTTTTCAAAAGGTGAAAAATACGCAGCTGTGTACAATATTTTAATCCTTGTTTCGGTTTGCTTCATTTAAAAAGGAGTGCAGACGGACTTTAAAAATCATATGTCTGAATCCATAAGAAGAAAATACATTATCCTAAATAAACATCACTAAAATGTTTGGTTCTCGATTGATCACTGCTTATCCTGAATAAAAAAAAACGCGTACAAATGATGAATCAAATTTTATATATTCAAAAGTGTAAGAAAACTGCTGAAAGTTAACGGATCCCTACAAATCGGTTTGATAGTCTAACGATGACGTTAAGATATTTTTCTCACAGTCCAGTTTCATCTCTCTATTTCTCTCCTCCTCCTGGTTAACACGCTACTTAATAATTTGTTGGAATAAATTGGTGACGACTATTGATCAGTAAGTTGAACATATTGGACCTAAAGTGTTTCATTAAGCTGTGTATATCTGAAGACAAATACCCATCTCACCACACAATCTTGAAAAATGAAAGTCGTGAAAAAATGCAGCACTTTAACAGAAGCGTTTTATTATTCACTGTTTCATTATTATATTTGTAAATTTATACTTTATAGCGTCAGTATATTGTCAATACATGTATCTTTATACTATTGTGAAATGAACAATAACAATGTAAGATCGGTGAATTGCCAAACATATTAATTGATATAATAGATGTATCTACATAAAAGAGAAATGCCAAAATTAAAATACCAATACACATATAAAAAGCCTTTGTGTCCCCTCAAATAACAGCAAACACACAAATACACAATCGCCCCTATTTGTAAACCAAATATCGTGTACACGATACATTTCATATCTTTGGGTAAATGTACTTTTAATCATTACACTTTTATACATTTCAGACTAGTTTTGTCGATATTTGAAAAGGAAATTAAAAGAAAATCACGGTGATCAATAAACATTTCGTATTATGACTCTGATGTGATACTTTTTCATACTCTCTCAATTTCCGATGTGTTTTCTTTAGCACCATAGGCCTACATTCCACTACACCTATGTCCCATCTCTAAACTTTTTACAAATATTATCCATTAATATTAACAGTTTTGAGCTAAAAGCCGTCAAATATACGTTTGCGTATTCTATTCGACATGTTATAATTTTCCAAAAAATACAAAGGGAATGCTAATCATTTGTGATATCATAGTTACAGTAAATCATCCATCAGGACCAACATATAATGATAATGGTTCACATTTAGAAACATACTAGTTGTTTAACTTTATATCTATTAAGCCATGTGTGATCGTTCCATAACCTTACTAATTGTACGTCAAACAACACGCAATAAGGACAGTCTTCAAAGGAGTTTATCACTCGCTGGGTATCCATAACCGTTGGTTAATCCTTCAAATACACTTTTAATTGAATACTGTATGACCAATAGGTTGCTTTACTGCAAGAATTGCTTATCATTTATAGTATGACTGTTACAGAATACTTCCAGATGCTATCAGACAGGGTAGGTTCAAAGACCTAGAAAGCTCTTGTTAGGAGTTGTTTGGTCGGACTGTCCTAGCCAGGCTATACGGTGTTATACATCACGTGGTTTGTTGCCAGCATGAGACGCTGTCCAGAAAGCCTCCTGAAACATGTCAAATCAGAAACATTTTGAAATATTTCATTATATAATCATGCAAGGGAAAACTATCATGAAGATACACTGCTAATATAGGCACTACCATATATTCAAATCCTTTCCCCTGTAATATGGATGTCTTCCTCTTTTTAAAAAATCTTATCATTTAAAATATTCTGATATTTATTTCCTCATTCCAAATTGCCATGTGTCCAGGTTCATTGTATTGTCAAATGATTTGTTAATTCACATAGAGGGCCAATAATTGACTTAAAGATATCATGTCAACCAAGGGCAGAAACATTCTATTAATGGCTTCAAACAATGCGGACTGTAATACCAAATATATCCCGCTCTGCGCTTTGTTGAGTTAGTTATATTTTTTATTTTAGTTATGTAAGTTCTCGTGACGTTGCTGAAAGATAAACCTGAAAGATCATACAAGCCTTCAAGAGGTTTGTTTATGATGTTTTAGCTTGATAATAATACTTTGGCTTTGTGCCTGTTTCGAAATGGAGCCTGGAAGGATTTGAAACGTAAAGCGTGATCATCAAATTTCTTCGATTTCCTTCCTTGTTTGTTAAAAGCAATTTGAAATTCGTGTTTCTTATTTAATATAACTTATTTCTTAGCAGTTACGTTCTCGTAGCACATGTTGAAGTACGTGTACACGAACATCTATTTAATTGAAGTTGTGAAAGATAACGTAAATAGAATATAATACCGATCGAATTTTGTTTCCAAAAATAAAACCAGAATATGAAAGAACCAACAAGATTAAATTAGAATCCCTTAACACTGCGTAACATCTCAAAATACTTCTGGAAACTGATGCAGTTTTTATCGGTTATCAACTTTTCTCCACGAATAGAATTTTCATTCCATTGATAATGCTGATATCAAATACACTAGCAATATTTTTTCCTAAATTGAATGATATAAACCATGAATGCAGTTTGAATATGAAGCATACTTTAACCTGTTGTATTTAGTAGATGCAATACATAAAAAGTATATCAGTTTGAAGAGCATATTTATGAGTAAAGCAAAATCGTTTACTCGAAACATAACCATTCAAGCTATTTTTCATATTTAACAGCTGGTAGAAATTGAATTATCTTTTCAAAAAGAAATCGTTTTTTAGAGGTATACTTATATTTTGGAGATTGTAGTGAAATTGGTGTAAAGGCGAAAAAGTATAATTTGTTGTGATCTTTGAAACATCCTAACGAGTATTAGGATTTAGGTCTCGAAAATTAATACTGAACCTTGTCACTAAATATGTTAAAAACAAACCAACAAACGTTGAAAAAGAAGAATACTAAAAAAAGACATGGACACCCATTTCGTTATTTCCTTATTGGCAGGATCCCAGAAATATATATCTATATCAATAATAAAGATGGCATGTGACACACTGACATTTTGATATCGACTTTCTTTTGACAGATGTAATTTAGTATGAAGAATTTTTCTTTATTTTGGCAATTATGTTTTTTTAATATTTTACTCAAAGGCATCACAAACAAAGATCCTGGTTAAACATATTGATAATGATAGAATAATATCGGTTGACGCATTGAAAGTGGGTACTTCCTGTTTTTCTCTGGTATAATTACTCTTTCCAGCGAAGTTTGTTATCTTTCTGTATTTCCTCATTGGCCGTTGAAACAACAATAACGTGTGCGCGCCATTTCTTCTCGCACGTTTCCGAGCGTTACCATTTCTGCACTGGACGCATATATTAGAAGGATGACGAATAACATTTTTTGTCATTAATTAGTTCTTCTTGCTGTGAGTCTGAAGTGAAGATGGCAGCGATGAAGTTGAATCTGATTTTGTGTTTTCTCCTTGGCCTCTTCTCCGTTTCATCAGCGCAAAGTGGTGAGTATTATCTCAGTCTCTGTTCGATTCTTGCTCTGGACATATTATTGAATAATACAAGAATCATACGGATTTTTTTTTATTTGCAATGTATGCATGCACCTAGGATGTTTACAGATCTGAATTATAAAGCATTGTTCCTTCGCGCTTTACTCACGTAAAATAAATTATTACATTCCTTTGACATGCAATAGATAACCGTTGCTATTGAAAATAATTCCTTAATCTTGAGGTTGTACTACATTAAATAATACTCATGCACTATAGGTCTATACGTGTTTATCACAATTTCCCCAAACAATGTGTTAATCACTTACGATACGATTACAAAGGTGTCAATCTCCTTACGTCTTTTAAACATATGTCGTATGAAACAATGAACACCAAAGAAGACTTACTGTTAAATTTGGAAAATGGATAAAAGGGCAAACCTTTCCGATCTACGATACAAAAGAATACTAATTTGTTTTTACAGCCTTTTTCGATTCCTGGATCGGTACATCAATAATTTGTCTTTTCTGCTTAAAATGACAGACTATCAAGTGAGGTTTGTGAGCTCGGGAACGTATCCACATGCCGGCAAGGTAGAGGTGTTTTTCGATGGATATTGGGGAGGCATTTGTGCTTCTGACTGGGACATGAACGATGCTGAGGTACTCTGCCGGGAGTTAGGCAAAGGCTACCCTAACACTATCACAGTCTCCGGCGGTCCACCTACTGGAACCGGTACCAAGTGCTTGGCTACGGTAAAGTGTTACGGCCATGAAGAACACCTCTCAGATTGCGCAGTAACCAAGAAACCGAGAACAAGTTCTACAGTTGAAAGTGGCTTAGTTTGCTTTCCTCCCACAAGTGAGTGATTTGAAGTGAACATAGATTCACGATATTATTTACAATAAACCCTTTGAAGGTTTAAACAGGCCTATTGATTTCCATACTAATAATAGCAAAACAAAATATAAATTAGTGAATCATTGGTGACACTCCTCAAGTAGCCAACAGTGCAGTCAAGTGTTTCTATCTAGTAAAGTGCTATGGTCAAGCAAACTGACTAGCAGATTGTATTGTTACTGTACCAGAGAGAGTAGACACTCTTAGACACTCTTGACAGGGGACAATCTGGTATCATTCACTGGGTATTTTGTGTCCCTTATGAGGCGTGGTAAGCAGAAGCTAGGATGGATCTGATCTTTCAATATTTTTTAGGAAAAAGTATTATCGGTTCTGGTAGGTTACGACCACATATGGTACTTGGTTATGGCAAAGTTTAAAAGTTCGATAAACGGGAATGGATATTTATGAGTTATTTTTTTCCCCGATTACCATTACGCACTAAGCTTAATCTGCAATATGAATATTTTGTTTTTTGGTACGATGTTCGGGAGGAGTGTAATGGAATGGAATAATATGAGGTACATTAAAATTGTTTCTCTTCATAACACTTGGCAATAAATATCTGAATAATTTTGAGACCAAAAACGTGACTCGAATACTTAATAAATAATCATAAGTGTACCTTAGATATGGCTTATATTTGATATTGAAAACGGAACGCCGTTATAAAACACGACAATTATTATTTAATCTCTGCAACGTTTTTTCTTCCTTAATGCAGCTGATGCGGGTTTGCGGCTCAGATACGGACCTGATCAGTATTCAGGCTACGTAGAGGTCAAGCTGGCAAGTGGCAGTTATAGTAAATTGTATTTTTATTATGGTTATTATTGGTCTTTGTCTGGGTATCAGTATATCTCGAACATCTGTCGTCAGCTTGGATTCGGGGAGCTCAACTGGTGGGATAGTTTTGAATATAGCAGCACGTACAATATGACAAAGGTGACGAGATGTCCTTACGGAGTTGCGCACCACGCGAGCTGCATATTTTATTCTATGGGATATTGTATTTGGGGTTTAAACTTGATAACGATGACAAATGAAACTTCCATATCCATTGCGGAGGTGCCCGAGCATGTGTGCATCCCTATTTCAAAGGCGCGGCTGCTTGGCTAGTTCACTAGGGACTTTTAGATTGAGTGGACGAGAACACGACGAACGCCGACTGATCATGCGTGTCAACTTACTCAACTGCCCATGTTGACTACAATTAGAAATCTTAGATTGCACTCGACGAGAAACATGCATGCAGGAAGTAACACTATGAACATGACAGACAAAAGAACATCCCTTCACTGCTATTATGTAAAAATGTGTAGAACAGGTGAATATGCATGTGACACCTGTTCTACACATTTTTATATAATACAGGGAAAGGATCGATGTTCCTTTGTCTACCTGAGGAACTGTATATTTTATGCGCACGCGCCAGTACCGTACTAGATTTAGGAAAATCAAGGTTGACGCATTCTCGATCGCCGACTGAGACGACGTGACGCATGCGCAGTGCCTTAAAATGACGTCACACGTTGCAGTCAAAGCTGTCGACGTGCAAATCTAAAAGTCCCTATTTTCATATATGGACGTCAAAGGCCCATTTATACCATTGAAAAAAAAAATTCTGGAGTGCCATTAAAACTACTGGAAAAAACCTTTAGTTTCCTAATTCCTAATGCCATCTAATATAAAACTTACGACATTAAATAGGCACAGAACGAATTACTTAGAATCGAATCCTTATGCAATAGAATGTTAGTTGGCGCTATCTTGGCCGGATTCACTTAAATTCTTTTGGTAGATAAATCTCATCATCGTGAGCTGCGTTTACACTGTAACCAAAGCTCGTCGACATTTCCCACAATACGAAAAATCGACATCGGAAAATCCATCCCTGTAGTGTTTTTTTCTTTAAAGGCCTGCCGCAATTTGTCCTTTTTTGGCAGTGTAAATGCGCGCTCTAGAAACTTCGATACGATTCCGGTTTTTGCTCAAGTGAATTTCCTCGGTCACTTTCTATCCATGCAGTATAGTATAAGTAGCTAACGCGCACTACTCACCTCAAAATTGGAACGAGCAAATATCGACCGTTTTTACAAATGGTGCATGCGCACTATTCACCAACAAACTCAGAATCGCTAACAAAAAACTGCATCCGATGTATTTCGATTTGGAAAAAGAGGCAATTAAAACAAATAATGTTCCAGTACATTCCGCCTCGTTTTATCATGTTAACGATATGACCAACGATCCATTAACATATGAAATTTGCGCTTTGGTAGATGACACCGTCCTGGAAGCTGGAAAAGAAACTCTCATTGGTGATGGTTTCTAATATTGGCGCCGTCCTAGGTTTTGGTGCAATCTAATTGATGCAGTGTGGACGCAACGTATGGTAGATGAATTCTATTGGCGTCGACTTGCCTGAATAGTATTAGCGACTCTGACGTTGACTCTAAAGAAGTGACTCCAATTTATTGAGTAAAGGAAATGACAAAATAACGTTTATTTGCGCCATCGCGTGTGTGTCTTTTTTAAAACTCGTGCTGCAATTTCACCGATCTTTTGCAATGCTAATGCCCGATCTTGAACCTTCGGTACGATTCCTGTTTTCGCTCACGTGACTCACCTTGATTCCATGCTAACGCATGCATGACATCGACAAGTGGCGCATCCACACTTCTCCCCTTAATCGGAATAGTTGAACATCGCCGGTTTATTATTTATAATTGGTCTTTCCATAATCTGATAGACATTCCGGCGTAAATGGCAGCCCCCCCCCCCCTAAAAAAAAAAAAAAATCAACGATGCCAAAATGGACCTTTAACTGATTTTTCGCTATTAAACAAAGAATACATAGAATGTATTTTGATTTGGAAATGGAGGAAATTTTAACAAATAAGTACTACCCGCCTCGCTTAGATTCATTAGCAGATGATATTGGCGCTTTCGTAGATGCCACCATCCCGGAGGCTGGAAAAAAAATTCACGTTGATGCTGATTTCTATAATCGACCTAGGTTTTGGTGCATATTAATTAATGCAGTGTGTATGTGCCTTATGGTAGATGAATGCGTATTAGCGACTCCTACTCCGACTTTAAAGAAGTGACTCCAATTTACTGGATTTATTTAAACTGACAAAATCATTTATAGTTAGGTTGAATCGGCAGCGCTGAAATATAGGTTAATGGAAATAAATCTGCATTCAGGTGCGTCAAACTCAGTACGTATATGACAGATGGAATCAATGGGTCACAAGTAACATAGACACTACCACGATGTACCAGTATCTATACCGACGGGGTAAAAAAAAAGAATAGGAACAACTCAATAATATTTACAGTGACGATATATACTTTTATTATTATTACTATTTTTTGGTTTTGTTGAGATGGGGGGGGGGGCTAGCTGAGATTAAGGTATTAAGTATCTTTAACAGAATTGTGTATAAATAACCACACTACATTGATGTGTAATGGGCTGTATAAATAAATAAAAACTTGGGGGGGCGAGGGATCAATTATCAATACACCCCCAATCACCCCCTATTTTTTAAGGCGGCTCATTCGTCGTTTCATTATGATCAATGAAAGTCGATAGGTCCATTTACACATCCCATATGCCTTTTTAAGACCTCATTGACTTGTTGGACTGCTAATTCCATACTGAAAAAACCCATAAGAAACATCAAAGTTTCCTATTGACCCGATATTTATTATCAAAGCCATCTAATATAAAACCGTAAACTTAAAATTGGCACAGTACGTCTCACTTAGAATCGAACCATCTTCAATATAACGTTGGTTGGCGCCATTGAATTGAATTGAATCGACGAGGTTAAGTAACAAAAACTCAATGTCTTAGCTCAAAACGTACATTTTGAATTTACAAATAAAAATGAAACACAAAATATGTAGATATAAAATTACGACATTCAGTACAGAAATTGATCGGAGTATAAAGAAGAATAAGAAAAAGAAGTAGAAAAAATTAAATGAAATAAAAAGAACGAAGGAAATAAAGAAGGAAACATGGTTGAATATAAAATAAGAGTTTACAATTGATATGTTTATAAGACCAGTGATAAAATTCTGTGTACAAGTAAAAATTCAGTAATGAAAACCGTTTCTGGCTAGTGCAAAAGATTTAGACAATTTTTTGAGTTTTTTAAATAGGCTTGTCAATAAAGCTTTAAAATTATATTTATTTACTTAGAATATAGGGACAGGCTGTAACATTAATGATGTATAATGACTTATATTCACTGAAGAAATATTACATCGTGACTATCTAATTAGATATATTTTTGAAAAACATAAACCTTCTTGATTGTAAGACAGGTTCAGTATTAAAAAAGTACTAGATTTTTATTTGCCTTTTCAGAACACTCCACAAAAAGTGCTTTTGCTAACATATTAGGATGGATGTTACAATACGTTTTTAGTTCAGATTTCATCATATTTTTTAACAATATTTATTCATCTTTTTGTTATTATTATTATTGCAAAATTTGTTATTTTTTAAAACAATTTCATGATTAATATATATATATATATATATATATATATATATATATATATATTCCTTATAGCGTCATTTGAAGAACATATGTAGTTAACAAATGAGGCATGAAGTAGACATGGTCATTTACGAGAGATTTCCATGTTATGTTAGCGTTTGATTAATATAATTACTATAAAGGAAACTTATAGGCCTCCCAAGAAACAATAGGTTTATTCATCAGTCATTAGTTCAATTAGTTATATTGTTTTGAATTTAGGGTTAGGGTAATATACCAGTTTTCATGATGTTCTGTTAATGTACCATTTGGGGTTAAATATAGATGTCCTGTTAATGTACCCTATAAGGTTATATATATATATATATATATATATATATATATATATATATATATATATTGGGAGTGGGGGGAGGAGCAAGTTGGTGAGATATCGTAAGCAAAATTATGGATAAATTACCTCATTGATGCAAGCGCATGTATGAAAATACACTGTATTTTCGCAAAGAGAATGCAGCATTAGCCGTAACCTATTTTGAGCAACATGTTGCAAATGTATATTTAATCCATAGATCAACCCTTCCAGTGTTGATATATTCTGAAATAACGATTACTTTTATCTACATACACAATATCATGAAGATCTTATAAAGTTATAGTTATCTGAAATGTAAGGATTCAAGGTTATAGCATGCCACGTAATGAGTTTGTACTGAGGTGATTTATACACGGGTGCAGATCGGTGACGTCACTCTATTCATTCTGGGGGGGGGGGTACGAGACAATAGATTATACCCCTGATGAATAGTGTGACCTGACGCATCCACACCTGTCGATTCGTCAATGATGAAATCTTTATTGCTTGTCAATCTGAACTATACGTGCACGTTAAACCAAAGTAGATAACATTGATTAAACATAAATTTACATTGCCGGTCTTCATATTGCTTGTGTCACTACACCCCATTTTCAGATTGAAAACTGTTACTGTATCTGCAGTGTGCGACTTGCTCTCAATGTGTATTGTAGTATGATGCTATGTATTAGAGCTTATGCCTGTGTAATTCATTGAAAATTGCATTGGATAAATTGTACCAATGGTTATGTGATGAACGTTTTTTTCACATTGATTATGATGTGTAAGTGTGTGGTTTGTGTGCGTATGTGCGTATGTGTATATTTTGGGGTTTATTATCATCTTAAAGGCACACTGCCATACTTGTAGCTACTTGCTCCCTCTATATAGAAAACTTCCACAATCGGTGCCTGTTGGTCCCCCATGATCCTCTTTTTCTTATGTTAAATGAGAGCTGAGTTAATGAGATAGCCACCTGTCACAGTGACCTCGATGGCTCGCTGTGTGGCCTAATCCCTTCTTGCCCAGTAGTGGTGACGGTCTTTAAACAGAAAGCTCAAAATGACAAAAAAACACTTTAAGATCCATTGCGGGGGTTCCTGAGTGTACAAGTAACCGCTGTTTGGTTGTTTCATTATGCTATATGGACGCCAATGTCCTAATGATTGTTATCAGCGCCATCCAATATAAAACCTGCTACATAAAATAGGCACAGTCTCACTTATAATAGAACCATCTCCCATAACGTTGGTTGTATGTATTGCCTGTACAGCCGGCACCATCTTACATAACGGCCTTTGGTAGATGAATTTCATTGTCGTAGCAAAAAAAATCTAACATTTCAAAATGGAGGCCGTAGAAATTACAAATGTTGAAGTACTATCCGCCTCGATGTATCATTTTTATGATGTGAACAACAGCCCGGTAGCAGATGGAATTGGCGCTTTCGTAGATAACCCTATTATTACTTTTTCGGGGGGAGGGGGCAAGTTGAGATTAAGGTTAATGCGTAGATGAGATATCTTATGCAAAAATGATAGATAACCTCATTGATGTGAATAAATGTGGAAGCGCTTGTTTAAAAATACATAAGTGTAATGTATTTTAGCAAAGAAAATGCAGCATTAGTCGAAACTTATTTCGGGAACCATGTTGCCAAAGCAAATTCAATCCATGGATTGACCCTTCGAGAAAAAAAAAAGCAGCAGAGGTTATCCACTAAACTTCAAATATAAAATATCGATTAATTTCTCGCATTTGTTTAATATGCATTTTCAATATTTTGTTTATTTCTTTGAGATTCATGTGTAGTGTAATGAGCCGGAATAAAATAAAATACATTAACATTGAGTTCTTAATCAGACTCGGTTTAATATACATATTTAAACAATTTTGAATGAAAACGTGACTCAAATACTCAAACGTGACCAAATTGATGTCTGATAAGTAATAAATGTACTTGAGTTTTGGTATATATATTCCCTTTAGGAGGGGGGGGGGGGAATGAAGAAAATACGACTCGCCTTTATATAAGAGTTTTTCTCATTTAATCTCCGATACTTTTTTGTTGTTTTGTTTTGTTTACACAGGTGATTCGGGTTTGCAGCTTAGATACGGATCTGATCAGTATTCAGGGTGGGTAGAGGTCAAGCTGGCAAGTGACAGTTGGAGTTAACAATTAAGAAGTGAAAAAGAATAAAGAAGTGACTCCAATTTATTGAGTAAAGGAAAGGATAAAATAATTCCCCAAATGGTTTAACATGTGTAATATGATGTATTGAGTAACAAAAGCCAAAAGTTTGTTTGATTTATTATAATAATTATAAGGTCATGAAAAGGCCCATTCAATTTTAGGGGGACTGCCATTCACAATACTGGAACAAAATCATAACAAATGTTGTAGTTTCATATTGTCTTGAATTAGTTTATAGGCGCCATCTTATGTAAAACCGACGACATAAAATAGGCACAGTCTCACTTGAAATCTTCCATAACGTTGGTTGGCGCCAATGCCTGTTCAGCCTGAGCCATCTCATATACTGGCGTCGCGCCCGTTTGTGGCAAAAAGCCATTGTTTTCTTTAAGTAGATAAATATTATTGTCATAGCCCCTATGACGCCGACAAAGATACTCCCAATCTATGTTTTAGTATTATCCGCCTCGCTTTACCATGTTTATGGAGTGGACAACGATCCATCAGCAGTTGACATTGGCGCTTTCGTAAATGACGCCATCCCGGAGGCTAAAAACCTAAATTAACATTGGTACCGATTTCTACAATCGGCGTCCACGTAGGTTATGGAGTCTATTCATTAATGCAATGCGGAAGCACGTTTCGGTATAGATGAATTCCGTTGGAGTCATCTTGCCTGAAATTTATCAGCGACTACTACTTCGGCTCCGACTCTAAAGAAGAAACTCCAATTCTCTTAGTGAAGAAACTGACAAAATGATTTATAGTAACGTTGAATCGGCGGCACTGAAATGTTGGTTAACTGAATGAAAATAAATCTGCATTGAAATATATCGATTCATTTGTGTAAAACTAGGTAGGTACATGAGAGATCGAATTAACGGGGATGCAAGTAACGTAGACAATACCAGTATGTACCAGTATTTATACCAACTGGGCAAAACAGGAATTTGAAGAAAAAAAAGGAATTAGTGGTGACGATAAATACAATTAATATGTAGAATTGATGGAATGGCAATAATATTATTATTACAATCATTATTATATTTGTAATTTTTGGGTGGGTTGGGGGCAAGTTAAGATATACGTCAATGCATAAATGAAATATTTTCAGCAACATCGTGGATATATAACCTTATTGATGTGCATCGATGAGCAAGCGGATGTATAAATATACACACAAATAAGTTTTTTTGCAAAGAGAATGAAGCAATAGCCGTAACCTATTTTGAGAACCATGTTGCCCAAGCATAGTTATCAATGGATCAGCCTTTTGAGTGCTGATATATTTTGATATATTCTACCAGGCGATCAATTTTATCTACATTTCATTTCAATTTTTCATTTCAAAGACTTTATTTTCTGCAATCAAACAAATCAGTTATACAACAAATATGGATAATTATATAAAACATAAGGTATGCAAACAATATACAAAATATAGAAACAAATGTATAATACATGAGTAAGAGTAAACTTATACGTTGGGCCATTGCGTGTATAAAGAAAGAAAGCAGAAGGTCGCCGTTTAAAGCTTGAGTAGACGGTCAACCGAGCTAAAATAAAAATGAGATGTGAAATATATGAAGAGCTCGCACCCAAAAGGCGCTAAATCCACTTTTCACCGAATTGAATGTTTTTACAGGATTTGAATAGACCTCTCTATGTGTATCTCATCACTTAACTTCCCCTTCAGAATTGTCTCAGGAAATATGAAAATATTGATATGAAATTCATGCTTTCCACCAAAAGGTACTTTTATTTTAATTTACTTTAATCCATTCCAAATTCCAACCCAAAAGGCGCTTTATCCACATTTCTATAGTTTCCTCTGATTGGCTCAATCCTACCAGATTGTGGAAATGTTCCCAATCAGAAAGCAGGACACGAAGAGCATAGCACAGATAGACTGCCTAGATTCGCCTGTACTATTCACGTCTCGAAACACCTTATTTTCTGACGATCATGGATGAAAGATTTGAGCTTGCTGATATAACAAATGTCCCCAGGAAAGAACAGAAGAATGAAGCAGAATTTAAGAAATCCAAATCAAAACAGTGATGAAGGTGAGCCGGATTTTTTGGGGGTGAGTCAGTCCCATGTGTATAATTTGGTATTAGGATTGTGATGTTTATGGAATACTGTGTTGTCTGTTAACTTGGTAATATTGATAAGAGATAGATGTTTGGGACAATGAAATTATCCAAAATATATGTTTGATAGAACCAATAATGATCAGGGGTACCTTTTTGAATTATTAACCGAGTAATGTTGACACATTTTTTCTATTAAAAAAAAATTCTATTTGACGCGGTCACTGTGACGGTGCTAGTTAGTAAACATGACTTTAGCCTAAATATATTTTTAGCCAATAAATTCAAAATAATACTGCCTAACCGTATTGCCCTTGGTCTCACCTTGTGAGCTGTAAGCTAGCTTACATAGCTTGAATTTAGCATGGTTATGAACAACTGATTTACAAGATTAGTTCTAAAGATAACAATGATAATGATAACTCTGTAAAAAGAAAGATTGGAAAGAATTCCATTCATTTTTTTTTCGTTCGTCGGTATGTCTTCATACAACTACGACGATTGGATTGGAATACATCTAACTTGTGTACTCTTGTTTTAATTACACATTCGCCATAGAAAGCGACACGACATAAAATGCCCAAACACTCTGGTCAAAATCTTTTTTGATTTTCAATCAATCAAAAAGTAAATTTTGCTGTATTTTGCTGATTATATTTAATCTTTACTTCTTTTCCAAAATTCAGGTAAACGACCAGCCATTGTATGTCGTATTCCGTCACACAACTTTTGCAAAGCAGCACTTCCTGACGAGTGGGACATTGATGATATCTTCCATGCGTTCTACGATAATTCCAATAAAGAGCGACAGGATGCATTCATAGCAGCGTACACAACAAACGGATGTTAAACACCTCTTGTTCGCAGTAGACATCAACATCGAAGAGAAAAATCCAGCAGCTATGCAAAGACCACGCACCTACCTTCGAACTGACAAGGAGTTTTATGCAGCAATCTGCATATTGGATGCCACGGAAGTTGATAGGAATGAGGAGGAGGATGAAGCAACAGTTGTCATGTATGATGAACGAAACTATAAGTAGGACATGCTAATTTTATTCAAGACCTCTATGCATTTTAAAATGACTGAGAGCTGGTAGAAAGGTTTAGCATGATAGCCATAAGTTAACAGTTACAAATATTCATTGTCTATTATAAAAGTTGACTGAGAACATTTGGTGTCATGATTATATATTTTCCAATTAATACAAATCACATCTTGCCAGCAGAGTTAATATATACAATTTTAAGGTAATTTTCAGCTGCATGTTTTATGCTAGTTGTTTTATTTAAAAATGCACAGTAACGGGAGTGGGATTGTGCAATGGTCTGCCACTTGCGTAACTTTGTAATATTATGAAAGGGGTTTTAAGACACTTTTTTGTTAGGGTGTTTCCACATTATTGAAATTGTTACCTTTTTACGGTATAATTAGATGTACGTTATTGTACAATTTAAATCATTACTTTAATGTTATCTGAAATGTTAGCATTCAAGGTGAGAGCATGCCACATAATGAGTTTGTACACGGGTGTAGATCGGTGACGTCACTCTATTCATCGGGGGGGGGGGGGTGTACGAGAAAATAGATTATACCCCTGATAAATAGTGTGACCTGACGCATCCACACCTGTCGATTCGTCAATGATGAAAATCTTTATTGCTTGTCAATCTGTATTATACGTGCACGTTAAACCAAAGTAGATAACATTGATTAAAGTGACTCGGTAACATTGATGAAGGTTGATGAAAAAAATTGCTTAATTTTTGTATAAAATGTAACTTGCTATATTCCTTCTACTATACTAACCCTCTGACATGCAAAAAATCCTGAACAAATTCTCAAACCACAAAGATATCTATGGTTTTCTTTGAAGGCGTCGATGTGAGGCACCCTCTAACAGTGATTAACAGTAAATTCTCCCAACCATTTTTGAATTTTCCCAACCGTTTTTCCATGACAAAATACATAAAACAGGCTATAAAAATCTGTCAACACTTAACTGTCTGGAATGGAATGTAGAGCCATTTTATTGCTTTGTGACGATTTACATTCACCTAAAATGTAATTAAATTGTCCTTGTCTTGATGCTGAACAGGCTTTGACAAGTAGCAGAATAGAAGTAGAATAATATAGTTGGGAGAATTAAGGAATCGATCAGATCAGTTTTTCCCAATTTGTACCATGAATAATGATCCGTTTTCACTTAAATTTTCAGATTATCTTAAATTGTACATCTAGCATTGAAGTCACTACCTTAACACCACTATCTCTCATCTGAACAATGTTACTAAGTCCCTTTAACATACATTTACATTGCCGGTCTTCATATTTCTTATGTCATTAAACCCCATTTTCAGATTTAATGATGTTACTGTATCTGCAATATGTGTCTTGCTGTCAATGTGTATCGTAGTATGACTCTCAATAGAATTAGACTTTATGCAATGATGCAATATGCATATTATTACTGTGTGCCTGTGTAATTCATTGAACATTATATTTGATAAATTGTGCCAATGTTATGTGATGAACGTTTTTTCACATTGATGATGATGTGCGTGTGTGCGTGGTGTGTGTGTGTGTGTGTGGTTGGTGGAGGATGGGCTACTTTGCTGAGGAAACAATAGCTATGAATGGAGTGACATCGACATGGACTGCAGTGAAGAGCGGAATTCCGCAAGGGAGCATCTTTGGGTCTACTCTGTTTTTCAACTTTATAAATGACTTATCTAAGGAGGTTACCTCCAAGATTCTACTCTTTGCCGATGCCACTTGATTGTACAGAGCAGTAGGTGATCAGGTGGAATCCTCAGCACTATAGACTGACCTGACAAAGCTCACCTTATTATTTCGTCAGCAGTTTCAGTTTCATTCGTGAAAGACACACTGCAAGTCACGTCAAGAGTTCTGGAGAGTTTTACATGAAGAATCGATACATTTTGACAGCTTATAAATCTCATTTTGTTTGAAGCATTTTATATTCATCAAGTTTACCAACTTTTGACTCTCGGGATGTCTAAATTGTGATTCAAATCATGAATTTAGCGACAATTTTCTTTGAAAGTCTGTCATTCTTAGTTTGGTCATACGGAATGGTTTCAGAAAATATCTAATGAAAAAACGTAATAGAACTTCCGTAGAGTCAATATCTGATGAATTGTCCCTCGATTACGGAGTACCTCAGGGCTCAGTTCTGGGCCCACTACTATATTTCAAGTTTTTATTAACGATCTGCTAGTGGCTTTCACGAAATGCAATTTCCACTTTTATGCCGACAACATGGTCATGTATTATTCCCACATAGATGTAGATGTGATTCAATCAGTTTTAAAGAAAGAATAAGGTAATCTGCAATCTTGGATTAATGCAAATAGACTCTCTGTAACTTCTAGTACAACAGTGTGCATGATTTTACGGACAAAGTTTACGCTTTCTTTATAGAGGTAAATGCCACTAAGTTAAATAAAATAAGAATTTGGAATAACTGTAGATTGTGAACTTAAGTGGAATAGTTATATAGTTATTAGGAAACTCTAACCATATGTAGGCCTATTCTTTATTGTTTGAAATATTTCATGAACATATGACTGATAATTTTGTTTTTAACGAAAAGTGTTATGGTATAAGATCTAATGAAAATGTACTGCTTCCTAAACTTAGAACCAATAAGTGTAAACGTACATGCTTGTATCGTGGATTTGTGTTAATCAATGAACTTATTCTTTAGCTCCGTCAGTTAGACACACTAAGTTTGTTCAACAAACATATACAAAAATACTCTAAATCCCGTTGGCTAGATAATGTGGAGAAGATTTTAAAACTAATTAAAACTTGATAAGGGTGGGGTCGCATTTGGTTACATTAGGGATAGGAAGAGATATTTGAATATATTTTAATGATCTTTAAAAAAATTACTTTAGTACATGGACAATATATTTTGATTACGACTCACTATTTTGTTATATTATTAATTATTATCATTATGTGTATATCAGAGCCATTAGGTTAATGGCCCTGGAATGGACTATCCAACCGTTTTTATCTTTCTATTGTTGTTATATAATTATTAGATTCTGATATATTGTTTGATTGTTAAAAAAAAGAAGAAGATTGTTGGGAATAAAACAAACAAACAAACCTTGTAGGAAGAGAAGTGACATCAACCTTTCATTAAAAGCAAGTGTGCAGTTCTTCACCTGGGTAGAAACAACAGGAAGGACGGTTACTGCATGAAAGGAGGAGAAATCAAGAAATCCGATCTTGACATAGACCTAGGGGTACAAGTAGATGTTGAACTTAAGTGCCATTAACATATATCTATGACAGTAAACAACGCGTACCAACTCCTTTGAATAATTATACGTACCTTCACCAGGCTGGACACTAAGACTCTACCCCCTCCTATTCAAGACAATAGCAAGACCACACTTGGAATATGGTAATATCATATGGCGCTCACGCTGGAAGGAAGTTGGTTACAAGGTTAAAAGGGTACAGAGGAGAGCGACAAAGATGATGCCAGAGACAAGAGAACATCCCTGCACAGACAGACTAAAGATTTTTGATTTACACTCCCTTTACTATAGGAGAAGGAGAGGAAAAGCCATTGCAGTTTCCAAAATACTGAAGGGCTTAGTAAGGCTGGATCCAAGTCATTCCTTCACCATATCACCCAATACTCGAACTTGAGGTTTTTCAGCAACAGAGTGCTTTTCGACTGGAATAGTCTCTCTCAAGAAATAATAGACTCAAAATCCTTCGATATCTTCAAGATCAGACTGGATAAGCACTGGAGGTCTGAGCGATTGAAGCTAATCTTATTTAATTAATTTAAGTAGTAAATGTACTACAGTTATGGAATGTTTCCTTTTATTCTTGAAATTGAAGACAATTTGGAACGCCTTAATATAACATAGTTCTTCTTCACATTTAATCTCCGAAACTTAATTTATCTCCTTTGTACAGGTGATCCGGGTTTGCAGCTCTTATACGGACCTATTTAGTATTTAGGCTGGGTAGAGGTCAAGCTGGCAAGTGGCAGTTGGAGTAAATTGTATCCTTATTATTATCATACTGGTTATGGTTATTGGGATTTGTCTGCCTCTCAGTATATCTCGAACATCTGTCGTCAGTTTAGATTCGGGGAGCTTAACTGGTGGGATCGTTTTGAGTATATCAGCACGTACAATATAACAAAGGTGACGAGATGTCCTTACGGAGTTGCACACCACGAGAGCTGCATATTTTATTATATATTTTTGAGTTTTTTTGTTGAGGGGGGGGGGGGGGGTAATTATCATATTCAGTATTATATATACACTGCCGTCAACCAGTACGACTTTTATAAGTAAATAGGATAGTACGATTTTGTGTGTGTATGCCATTTTCAATGGCAAATTGCCCATTCTCTCCTGTTACATATCCTACAGGATCTCACATCGGCAATTTTGGGATGTCCATGGGTTCATTATACACGCCGGTCATGACGAAATCATGCATATTCAACCAATGATCCATAACAGTAACAGGGGTAGTGAGCACTAATTCTTTTTATTTTGCTTCCAAAAATTTGAAAATCGCGCCGGCCGATTATTCGCTCGTTGGGGGGGGGGGGGGGTGTTTTATCGCCTGCCCAAATTTCACCTATTTTTGGTAGTGTAAACGCACTCTTTTTAAATTTGGGACGATTCCAGCTTTTGCTTTAGAGACTATACCATATTTCGACTTGGATATGAAAGAAATATGAATAAATAATGTTTATGTACTATTCGCCTTGCTATGATACATTACCAGATGACATTGGCGCTTTTGTAGATGACTCCATCCCGGAAGCTGGAAAGCAAACTCACGTTAATTTGGTGCTGATTTCTATAATCAGTGCATACATAGGTTTAGATGAAAACCAATTGTGTCGACTTGTAGTAGCGGCTCCGACTCTTACTCAAATGAAGTGAGCTCAACTGGAGGGATAGTTTTTAATATAGCAGCACGTACAGTATGACAAAGGTGACGAGATATCCTTATGGAGATGCACACCAC